ACAGTGCTTTGTTGAAGATTTGTTGGTGGTGTGGCGCGATAGGAAGGGAAACCTGGAAAGACGCATTGCCGATCATTGGGCCGTTCCTGCCTCGATCCTGACAATCTAAGTTTAGCAGGCAACATGTTTTGGATTCTGACAGACAACTATCCAAATGCACTTGCTTCTGCTCCATACCTACCTACCTACCTTGAGCACTCATCAAACCTGAAGTGGGCAGGGTACTATGGTAGTTAGGTGTAGACTTGATTGATTACCTTAGTAGGTACCTACCTACCTTGCGTCGTAGACGGGATGTAGCTACCAATTGTAGTACTGTCCCTACCTACTATATCGTATTAGATACCGATACCGGTAGACTCCTCCTAACATTAGTACCTAGTACTCATCTGCTCCTGAAGAACATCAAACAACCCGACAGCATGCCTTCTCAGCGCCTAGTGTACCTTATTTCATGCGATGCCAGGTGCCCGCCAACGGGTAGTAGTGCTGTCTAGGATCAGGGATCGTGTTTAGCCTTGTGAGCTCGGGTCTAGACGTTTCATCCTTCGACTGGGCTTGAGCTTTTACACATCCGTCATGGATTGACGCTGTTCCTGATGTGATCAATACTTGCTCAACAGCATTGATGACGACTCCAGCACTCACTGAAACGACCCTTCTTTCTGCGGCATAGAAACACGGGCCGTATTATGAGCCTCAATCTTCCGTCTCTAGCACCAACAAAAGGCCAGGCCAGGACCTTTCATATCTAAAGCCCCAAGAATGTCTTCGACGTCCACATTTATTGCCTGACATGGGGTACTGCAATTACCGTTGGTGCCAAGGTCCCAAAGCTTAGGAACAGTTCTAATTTGCCGAATACCACATGATTTCTCAAACTGCCGCTCTTCCTTCCTGTCATACTGGGTAAGACGAAGAGGTCACCCTGCTAACATGAAAGCTTTGCTTGTTGTCTCATTTCCTCTGAGATGAGCCTCTTATATTCTCAAGGAAAGCTGACCAAACTGAGTCAGGTTGGGATTACACAGCATCATCGAAACTAGCATTGACCAAACTGCTCCAGAGGTATTGCTGAGACAAGTTTTGAGTCTTGACTTGCCCATAGCGCAGCATGGGGAACCAGAGAACAAGCTAACATCTCGTAATGCAACGGAATCTTGCTGATCATAGTACTATTGCGATCACATATAGGTACGGTTCAGTGCTCTGTCAGTAGCCGAATCAGGGTACAAGCTTGATCATAAGCGAACACAAAATGCAGGATAGGCAACACTAACATTGAAAATGTTGTTACTCGCACTACAATGCAAAGTCGTTCTCTTGCTAAAGTGCCCATCCCGTTCGCACGGTATCCAGTCGGCTCCATGCATACTTTCGCTTCAAGGAGAGAGCTTCGAGTCGTTTCACAAACAAATCATTTGGCTACTGTCGGGCAAATCTATGTTAGGAAGCAGTTAGAACACCCATTCCACAAGTCCGTCCATCGTTCTGTGCGGCTGCAGAACATGAATATTCATGGTTATGGAGACACAACGATGCACCTAGTTCAAAACAGGCTCTGAGCTCCATTGTGGTGGGCTCTTCCGGAAATATTCGTCCATCAACCAAACTTTAACAGCCACCTCAAAAGGGCGATTGATTTGCAGCTTTCCGTATGTACATACACAAACGAATATGTTACAGCCACACCTCTTTTGTCCCCAGATTTCAGGAGTGCCTGCTCCGCCTTCGATGAACGGGCCCTGGAACTTTCAAGACATGGATGATTGAGTACCGAAGCTGACTATCTCTTAAAAACAGAAAACCTTCATGATTAGGGATTCTTAGGCAGTACTCGGGGAACAAGAAAATATTCAAGACTTTAGAAGAGGTTGCTAAAATAAACTTAGAAAAGAGCCCCCTAAGCTTAGGTATAATTGCCTAAGTCTTTCCGCCACTTAGGATGAAGGCCCTAAATTTTCTTACCTCCCCCGTGGCAGTATGATCTTACAGGACATGATTAATCATACCTCGAATCTATCCAACCTGATCAAGCACACAACAAGAACACAACACAGATTTCTTCTGCATCTACAATTTTTACAAGCGCCTACGCGTCGTTATTGAAGTAGAAGACTTTAAAGAGGTGAGCCTCTACTGTCTGTAAAGAGAAAAAATATCCATGCTCTGTCTTGAAGTTGCCAATCACCCGTCACTTCGTGTCGTTTATTACCGTGATTGAGAATTCCGAGTGGGATCTTCTGTTAGTTCCACTAACGTTTTGACCAGGATGCCAACGTTCTTTTTCTTCGAGAACCTTATCCTAGGTATACTTTGGGGGCCCCTGCCCGTAATCACCTGCCCTGATTTTAAACTGTTATTACAATTCTTCTTGTAGGCAAGTTTGCGAGGATAGATCCTCAGCAGGTTCAGAGAATTTGCTTTGGGGATCCCTGGAAGCCGTATGTTTTGCAAGTCCCTGCCTGAATTCTCCTAAATTTACATAACCTTTGTTCAACCGCCCGAAACTCGTGTCCAGTCTCTTAAACTTATAGTTAGCTGTACGTACTATTAGAGTAGGCTGCTCTTCTTGTTGTAAGGGAACACCAATCCATACGGTGATGTCGTAACTCTTGAACACCACTAATCTAAGTATTCTCTAGGCTACGCACATGATTCAACTCTGCTGTTTATTGGCGGCCCTCTACTGATCGGGCACTAACCGTGTTTCCCGTGTATATGTACGCTTTTATTGCATTATGTTACCAAGATATCTTGTGAAGGAGCATAGTAGAGTCTTGATGGTCCCAAGACCTTGTTCTGGGACAGGAGGTGTACACCCTTCAATCTGATTAACCACTCGCATTCGTTTCTGGGTAGGAGGGTGATAATCATCAACAAAGGGTTTTGGTCAAGATGAAACCGACATGCCCTCTTGGCCGAGATGGGGAAGACAAATGCCCAACTCTGCAATCTTTGAATCCATATGCTATTAATGAGCGGTGATATTCTAATTCCTACCTGTAGTGATGGAACCTGCGAGGAGACAAGGAGAGAACCTACGTGTTTACCATTTATCTAATTCTTACTAGAAATTACTATGGTCGTTACGATACGGGTATAAACCTGAATTGCTCCAGCAGAATGTTCTGTAGATATTATATGGAGGGCCATCTCTCCCCCACAACTGTTGGCACTTTCTTCCTCCCCTTGATCTAGCAGGTCGCAAGTCTAAATACGGAGAGTTTCCAAGTGGCCTGTTTAATATGGAGATGATCAGGTTTCAAGATGAAGCTTGTGGCAATCCAATGGCTACAGCCTAGCCAGCTGGAATCGCTCAGGTGACCCTTGTTTGCTGAAGCCGAAGCATGAAACACTCGACCGCCGGGTCGTAACAACATGTAACGAGCATGGAATCTCGACACCATTTGAGAGTCTGACTTGAGAGTCTAGTTGTGCTATTATGCTATCCTAACTCAAGATTGATAGCAGTCTGTAGTCGCAGGTATCAATGTAATGGATGTCATATAGGCTAGTAGTGACAAAAAGTCTGGCTTCCAACACCCTCTCATGTCTGGAACATAGTCCACAGTAGTCAGCTGTATTCACGCAACTGCCGTATACATACCCTGGCAGAAGATCGAGTGTTTTCTCCATCCTGGAGAAGACACAGCCTAGAAACATGTCAATTACGCTTGTTGGTATCTTTCGCTTTCGGGGCAAGCTCAAGTCAATCTGTCTGCTCTGCAGTTGCATCTTTTCAGTAATATCAAACCGATTTCTAAAATCTTTATCGGGGTTGATGGGGACGTGTGGATTGGATGGCGATATAGGATATATCTCATTGAGCTAGGAAAATCACAGCTATTTATTTCCTAATTTCTCGATATACTCTGTGATTGTGTTATTCTAAACAGTTTCATCATTGGGATTTCCTTCGCCCTCTCGTGGTGATTCAGAATAAATCTGCCTCGAGAAACAGAAAGGAGCAAATACCGAAAGAATTAGGGGTTTGTCTCAGAGTCTTGATGCAGATTAACTGACTATTTCGCGGGTAGGAGACTTCTGTCACTTCGCAAATCTATCCCCAACTGTCACTTGATGCGAAACAGGTGATTCTCTTGGCTGCATATTCGACACGTACATCTTAAGCATGCCTTACCAGAGAAACTATGCCTCACTTCTGCTCAACTTTGATCAGTGTCTCCTGTTTTCATAACTCCCCGAGCGGTCTATCACTGAGAGAGACCTATTCGTACAGTAAAGACTACCTACCCTGCTACCTAGACAAGGTCTAATGATCGGCGGGTGTTTCAATCAATTGGTCGAACGAAGGCTCGCAAAGAAGGCCCGTAAACAGAAGCACGAAACCAAACAAAAAGTGACTGAGCGCAGATAGACAGTTTCATCTTTTAGGTGTCAGTGCAGCTAGACAAGCTAACAAGATATGGTGGACTCGGTGATGGTTGTTTCGAGCTTTGACCTCTACATTTTAGTTAGTAATTGGTGTTGTGGGCCTTGCTTGGTTGGTGCTAAGGCAAAAGACCCGGACTCTTCTTCCATAAGAAGAAGTTATAGAACCACGCAGAAGGTACGCAGTACAATAAAGACGTTGAATCTACCCTTGTGTTTATGAGGCAAGGGTAAGGGTAATGATTCAACAGACACAACTGCCGAAGAGGCTGACGGGTGGTTCATTTCGAGGCTATTGCCGCCCTGCTCTGACACCCATCAGGATATCGGATGTGTCTGCATGAGCCTTGATTGCACGGTCAGACCTCTTGAGAAGGTCTCGGCTTTATGTCGTACGATGATGTACTCGGTGCATTCTGACAAAGAGAGGCGTGCTCTCGGGCATCATTCCCGGGTACCTAGGAGATGCAAGAAAACTCAGCATCTCGGGCCTAAGCAATGAATCCTAAACAATGAAAATATTTTGGTAATTTAATCTAAGCCTAGGGGGGCCCCTTGATGAATTTACTTCAGTACCAGAGTCTCCTTCCTCATCCGAAGCTATATTAATCAGCATTGATTCTCCTCATGATACCGTCGTTGGTCTCCCCCAAGTCGGGCAATTCCACTTCCTCTTTCTGTTCAGGTGCCGCCAGAGCTGACAGTAACTATTGAAAACCTCGTCATCCTCACCAAAGAGAGTCCCATGTAGAACTTTATGTATTCCAGTTGAGAACTGCGATTGTCGTAGGCATGTTCAGTGACCTTATCCTCTCTTGCCGTGGTCCAGGATGGCTCAACGGTAATCAAATGAGAGGCCTCTGCTATAATTAGACCAACGCCCCCCCTAAGTAGCACTCATTATGTCACCGATACAGATATCCAGGCGGGGCGGAGGACAAAAATATCGTACCTATATCTTTGTTTACTTTCCTTGATGTCAAGAGCGGCTAGCAATGATGTGGAATACTTGTCCAGACCAACGGCATCATAAGGGACTCCCTGGCGGAATACAGAGTCTGCAACCATCTTGAGTCGTTCTTTTCCTATCAATTGATGTTCAAGTGGGATCGTTTTGTAAAGGCCATCAGATCTTAGCTGGTGGAGGAGAAACATCAAAAGACTTCTATCCTGAGCGATTACAAGACTTAGTTCAATTTAGATGAATTTAGTATAGGATCACGAGGCTCTATACTAGTGATTTATGGTATATTGAGTTAATGTCAAGAACTTTTCTTGCTTCCTAGGTTATCGCTAATGGCAAGATGTTGCAAACCTAGTATGTGATGTATGGATTGGCCCATAGCAACTCAGGATAGGGTAACTTGAACATTATTACTGTTTTTATTTTTGTTTTTATTGATACAGTCTCGTGAAGAGCACACCGAAGTTCAATCAGGTATTTCTGTCACCGAAGATCTGTCAAGGAAGTGACTCAGTAGTCGTAAAAGCCCTTGCCACTCTTCTTACCATACCAACCAGCGTTGACCATGTTCTTCAACAACACGCTCGGCCTATATTTGGAGTCAGCGGTCTCCTCATACAGAACCTTCATGATAGATAGACATGTATCGAGACCAATGAAATCAGCAAGCTGAAGAGGACCCATGGGCACGTTTGTGCCGTTCTTCATGATGGCATCAATGGAGTCACGGTCTCCAACACCAGTCTCAAGACAAATGATCGCCTCGTTAATATAAGGCATGAGGATACGATTGGCAAGGAATCCAGGAGAGTCGGCTGACACCGAAGTGATCTTGCCCATGCGCTTGCAGAACTCAACGGCAGTGTCGAGAGTGTCCTGGCTAGTCTGCAGGCCGCTGATGATCTCAACGCCCTTCTGTACAGGGACGGGGTTCATGAAATGGGTCGACACAACGCGAGAGGAAGCCGAAGTATCAGTGGGATCTTTGGTAGTGGCCGCGGCGATGCGGGTGATGGAGATAGAAGAGGTGTTTGTAGCGAGAATAGCGTGCTTGGGGCAGATCTGAGCCAGCTTGCCAAATATGTCAAACTTGAGATTGGGCAGCTCAGGAACAGCCTCGATAACCATGTCTGCAGAGGAGAGGTCTTCCATTTTGGTGCTTGTACTGAGAAGAGAACGGGCGCTGTCGGCCTGCTCCTGCGTGATCCTTGACTTTGAGACATCCTTTGCTAGGAGTTTCTCAGCAAAGGCAATGCCCCGGGCCAGAGCCTTGTCTGAAGTATCGATCAAAGTAACGGGAACCTGAGCCTTTTGAGCTGCAACAAGAGCAATCCCCAATCCCTATCGTGGTGCTGTTAACTGTCTGAACGCCAGAAATGTCTTTCACATGCTCTTACCATTTGACCCGCACCGATAACACCAAGCTCCTTGACCTCTGCGGCGGCATATTGGCGAGGTGAAGAGCTGAAGCAGCGGGCATGACGCACAACTGCCATAGAAGGCATTCGAAACATTGGGGCAGCCATTTTTTTTTCTTTTTGTTCTCGAAGACTGTGTGGGGGGATTTTGGAAATCACGATAAAATAGTAAAGTGCCAGGACTCTTTAAGTTCTTCCCCACGGGGACGTTGGTATCTACGCCGACGCCGACGCCGACGCCGAAATCAACGGCTCATGCCATCATATGGCGGGTAACCTCGGCTCGGAGCCGGCGGATCTTTCTTATCAATTGCCGAACTTTCTTTATCTTATCAACTCTTATCGAGCTTCGCGTTAATTAGACACGCCAGACAAGACGCGTCTAAGCGCGTCGTATAATGAAGTAGGTGCCTTAGTGGGACTACCTAAGTACTAATGTTTTCTCATGTTGTCAAGGCAGCACAACCCCACGACCTTTAAATAGAGGCAGGCAACTATTTGTCTGTCAATGTTGAGTGAAACAAGATCATGGAGTTGGCAGATGGATCAACAGATATTGTGCACCCAGAAGTGCGAGCGCATATCAACAGTCTTGTCTCAGCGGTAAGTTTTCCCATATTACCAATAAGTTAGAATGTTCTGACAAGCGGATTCTAGCTTGGAGGCATCAGCGCCGACGATGATGGCGGCTATCAACTCGGTGACGATGCCCTCGAGGTTCTTCGCGATCTAAAACGATGGATACGCTTCTACGACGAAAAGACGAATCGGATGGATGTTGCGCGATGCATACACGAGGCGAACCTGATCGAGGGTGATCTGCTCCCCATTCTCTCGACGTGGCCCGAAAACGCCACGGACAGCAAATTCAAGTCCAGGATAGCCTTGGCTTGCTTCGAACTCATGGTTCCTCTCACGTGGCCGATGGCAAGGGACAGAGAGCGAATGACGGTCAATCACCACCGCCATATGCCGGTCCTGGAGCTTGCCCAGGTTGGATATAAGCGAGCCGTTATCAATTACGACGGAGCTCGCGTACTTCATACAGCTGTACGGGTGGCTCTCCCATCCATGGCAATACCGATTGGCGACCGAACACAACGTGATCATGGTATCATCAAGCTGGTATTGTTCTTCCTCCGTAACATCGCCATGATCGAGCCTCCCCCTGATGTTAAATACGAAGGCGATGAGTCTCAAATATCTCGATCCGCCACTATCGATGCGTTCTCATACCAAGACATCTTCCTCGTGCTATTGACGCTTGCATCGAATATGGGAGAGGATTTTCGAACCGAAGATACATCTGTCATGGAAATTATATATCATTTAGTGAAACAAGTTGACGTTGAAAAGCTCTTCATGAATGAGCAGCAGCTAAGTAAGGCCAAGGCTGGAGAGCTCGCCGATATGATGAGTAAGGAGTCGTCCATGTTGAAGGCATACAACCGCAAAGGCCCAACTCGCCACAACCGATTCGGTACCATGATTTGGGTGAAGCGAGACGACGGCAAGATGTCATCACTTTCGGGCCAAGATGCGCTGGCTGATGCCTCCATGAGGAATCAAAAGATGGATAACTCAAAAACTTTCCGACCTCCTCGCCGAGCACGAAAAGGGGATAAAGATGAGAAAGATCTCGGGTTGCCAACTAAGCTTAATTCTCGTGCTTATGACCAGTTGCGATCGTTTGTCGAAGATTTCCTTGACTCGGGCTTCAACCCCCTGTTCCAACATGTCCGCAAAACCATTGATAGGGAGGCACCACATGTAATGCAGTATCACCGCCGTCAATTTTTCTACTTGGTAGCATGGTTCCTGGAAGCCGAGCGCATGAGGCGCAAGGCAAGGAAACAGTCGACTAAGAATCCCAGCGAGGACATCAGCAGTTTCAACCTTGTTGCAGGTGTTCTCAACCAGGAGATGTTCATCACTCTCAATAAAGCTCTCCATGAGTCGCTGGAGATGAAGGATTGGCATGAATTAACCGCTGTTATGCGTTGTTTTACACAGATCCTTCTCACCGTGCAGGAAATGTCAGAGTCAGGCAACGAGGACAACGAAGAGATCGCCGAAAACGTGCTTAGTCGTCTATTTTACGAAGAAGCAACCCACGATGCAATTGCCACCATTATCAGAACTTACAAGGACCAAAGCTTCAACTACCTTGATGCTGCCACGGAACTGGTCCACCACTTCCTCCGTATTCTGGAAGGATACTCAAAGCAGAACATCGATATGCAAGTTCGCTCGCGGAAGCGAACTCGACGGAAGAAGAAGGCTGCCCAAGACGCTGCAGGAATCGAAAATGACAATGACGAGAATGACGGTTCAGACAATGACGCCGCATCCGCTGAACGAATAACTAAAGAACGAAAGTTCGACTTTCATCGCTTTGCAACGCGTTTCACGCCCCAGAGCGTAGTGGATACATTTGTCGCTTTCACCAAGTATTACCGTGATCTGACAGACTCGCAACTCAAGCGAGCGCATCGATATTTCTATCGCGTGGCTTTCAAAGCAGAGGCGAGTGTCATGCTATTTCGTGTGGACATAATTCACCTCTTTTATAACATGATCAAAGGCCCTGCTGCGCTTGACAAGTCCTCTAGGGTGTTCAAGGAGTGGGAAGAGTTGGTGAAGCAGATACTGCGCAAATGCTTCAAGAAGCTTGAACAGCGACCAGAACTGCTTGTGGAGATGCTCTTCAGCAAGGGATCTAGCACTGCCTTCTTTCTCGAGTACGGCTTCGAACGACAAACTGTCACTGCAGCCAGCAAAGCCAAATCTGCAGCTGAGCTGGTCTTCAAAAACACTGAAGAGCTAGACCGGCAGATCGCCATTGTCGTTGGAGCAATGTTGGACAAGAACCAGGCAAACCATGTCGCCTGGATCAAGAAAATCCTCGGCGACGCTGAGAGCGAACGTAAAGCTTTTATGGCAGCGGAAGAGGCAATGGCTTCAGTTGAGCCTGTACAAGATGATGCTGAGGAACAGCCAACAGAGTCGGGGCCAAAAGCTCCTCCTATATTTTGTGAGTTCAATGAGATTCGAGTATTTGTTCCTTCACTAATAATGCCTAGTCGTGCGTCCAGATGATAAGGACCGTCGTAATGCCATGTTCAAGAACTCTCATATGCGACTTCTTATGAAACTTGTCGGTCTTCAGCTATTAGGCCCGGCATCAGATGAAACACCCGAGTCCGCATGGATTATACCTTCTGATGTATCTGCCGATGTTCTCACGGATGCCATCCACTACATCAACCAAGCCGAGTTCAGCCCTCCAACATTTGACGAGGGAGTTCTGGCAGAACACCAGCTGAAACGCAAGAGTGCGCCACGCAAGAAGGCCGATTTCGATGATGATGAGGAGGGCGAGCTTGACGACCCCATGTTCGGACCCCTCGGTCCCACGGTGCGCAAACCCATTGACGAAGAAGATGGCCCCAAGAAGTCACCCAGGAAACGTAGGCCTCGAAAAGAACTTACCGAAGAAGAAAGACAAAAGAAGCGTAAAGAAAGGCGAAGAAAAGAGCAAGAAAAGGTGAAGCGCTTGAGATCAGAAAAGTATGTAAGGCCCGAGGACGATGAAACGGATTCTGAATACGACGAAGTCTTCTACGCTCGGGAACGAGAGGCAGAAGCAAAGGCATCCGCCATCCGCCACGTTGCGGAACGCCTTATTGTATCTAAAAAGCCAACTAGAAAGCGTGGAATTGCAGCTACAGAATCTGCATCAAGTAGTGAGGAGCATCAGGGAGGAGGTGACGATTCTGATTCTGGTCACGATTCTGATTCTGGTCACGATTCTGATTCTGGTCACGATTCTGATTCTGGTGATGATTTCATTCTTAGGGCAATGAATACAACTCTTGAGGAAGAGAACGGGGGGCAGCCAGAAGGAGCATTGCCAGATGGCAGTGATGGAGAGGGTCGCAAGAGGAGACGAATCAGTGTTGAAAAGACTCAGCCTGACGAGGATGAGGAAATGGGCGGCGTGAATAGGAATGGAGATGAGGATGAGGATGAGGATGAAGCACCTGTCGTAACTCGAAGACCGCGTGTACGGGGTGGGTTTGTGGTGGATAGTGATGATGATGATGAGTAGATATTAAGTAGCATAATTACTGGCGTCTGAAGCGTTCATGCTATATAGCATGGTGGGAAAGGGGCAGAGGGATGATACGTCTAGATTTAATGAACGGATGCCACCACCAAAGCTCTGCCATACTATCCTGTGGAAGTCATGGCCAAGACTCGGGAGAACTGGGTGCAAGGCCTGCACTTAGGGAGCAAGAAAACTCAAGACTTAAAAAGAGGATACTGAAATAAACTTAGTAAAATGCCTCCTAAGCTTAAGCTAGACTTACCAAATATTTTTATCGTTTAGGGGTTAAGGTCCTAAGTTTTCTTTCCTCCCCTAGCCTGCCTAGACCAGAGTGGCTTTTCCCCTTATATGGTAAACGAAGATTGTTTCTAGATTTTTAAGTAACGTATACAGTCCCTATTGGGGATGAGAGACTATCAAACAGTGGTATATCCTCCAAACATGTTATCTCATCGGCTTGTATCTTTCTATCAAAAACATAAGTCATATTTTACTCTATGGGGTTGACTTTCTTTGTTGTCGTCTCTCCAAACTCCTCCTTCTTGTCGCTGTGCTCTGCCTAGATTGTATTTGACCTAGCTCTGCAAGATCCTCCTGACTCCTTCTAGGGACACCAGGATACGCAAGCACACTATCGCGATGTTCTGGACGTCGGAGGGCATCTCTCTGTTGCAAAGCAGGTTTTTCGTCGTCCTTGCCGCCCCATGACCCCCCGATTCCTTCCATGATGAAATCGGAGGCTGTTGGCTGGTCAAGAAGAGAGAGTTCCTCGGGGGAGAATATGCAGGGAAGTAGGAGAGCACGGATTGGTATTAGAGCAAAGATGATGACAGGGAAGCCGACAGCGGCTACAGTCTGGGTGATAGCAAAAGTGGCACCGAAGCCGACGAGCTCGATGAGGACAAAGTACCAGATAGCTGAGCGCCGGCGAATTTGAAGTAAGGGGCTGTTTGAAGGCGTGAGGGCCCGATCGCGCGCTAGGAAAATAAGCTTGCTCGTGATACCATTCCCCTCAAGGGCCTGGACACCCATAACAAAGAATAGACCCGCGAGCACACCATGGGGAATCAAGTGAAGGACCACTAAAAGGGGTCCCGTCATAGTACCCAAAGTAAGGAGACCTTGAGCAAAGTTGGAAAACCGTTGCTCTACAACGTGTGTGGCCTCGAAGGAATAGCCACCGCCTACTGGGTTGCCATCGTCATCATCTTCCTTGACAGCTTTTGTAACACAGAGCGACTCCGTATGGAAGGGTGCTTGAGGGATGAGGCCATTGGGAAACGGTAGGCCAAGGATACCTGCAACACCAGTTGTCAAACCGAGGAGGAATATATCCCAGTGAAAACCAGCAGGTTTGCGAAGTGGAAACTCGCTGCCCTGGGCGATAAGTGAAGAAACTTTGGTTGTAAGCAAGGTTGCCAGGAATTCAATATTCTATAACATACCATTATGATCGAACCAGAAGAGAATGGTCAGAAGGACTGCAAAGGGCAGAGCTAGAAAGACGTCACCCACGCTCAAATCCCAGAAGCGGACGAGCCAATCGCGGCCACTGGTAGGCTCAAAGGCGATTCCAGTGGGCAAAACCTCAAGATCAACCTCCTGCATACGGCCGAAATGGACAAAGCCAGTGAAAAAGATGATTGTCAAAGGTGTGCCGTAGTCCTTGAGAAACACGCGCAAGGGGTGGCGGAAAAGGCTGCTCCCGCCAAGTTCGCCGCACACGTATGCTGCCATGAAGACAAGAAGAGCGGCAGCGATGGAGAGATAGAACTCTTGTCCTCTACCGAGATGTTCGAGGACTTGGATGCCCTTTTGTAGGTAGATAAAAGCGACGTAAAACCCAAAGATGTCACAGGGGAAGCGCGTGACCCATCGGAGCCAGTTGCACGAGTTCGTTACGGCGAGAATCCAGTGAAGGATAAGTGACCAACTGGATGGATCAGTTACCAAACTGTGGGAATTGAAAAGAGCCCCGTGTTGCACGGTGAACGCCGACTTACATGCCGATCCAGCACATGAAGCCAATATAATTGACGCCGGTTGGCTTCATGATATCATATACGGTGCTTCAGATGCCCAGGTCAGCTCCACGATGCAAATTCATTTGTGAGTAGTAGTAATCTTACTAGTTGAAGACGGTTATTGGGCCTAGAGAAGCATGGTTAGAGGGACAGCTCGGCGTAGTAGGAAAGGGAGATCAAATTACCCGTAACTCCGACAATGACCAGCGGTTGTGCAGCAAATAGAGAGAAGATAACCGCCCCAAGAACAGAGGAGAGTAAAACTTCGTTGACGCCATAGTTTGACCCTGTTTTCTGGAACATGTCGAGAGAGAAAGCCAGGGCAGGGAGGATGCTTGATGAGAAGTCAGCGCCACACGCAGTTTAATATGTAACGAAGGCAAGACAAGATGAGATGGAGATACTGACTTGGCAAAATACATATACACTGTAGCAGGGACTACACGATAGTCCCACGCGTCCGTCCAGTCGCTGACATAGTATGGTATTCGTCGACGGATGTCACTGATCATACCACGAAAGAGGTGGATTCTCCACCAAGCCTCTTGTTTTTGGCGAGGTGAGGCCATTCCATCGTGGTCTCTTTCGTGTCCTGGCGAAGCTGAAACCATGATGGCTGCCTCTAGAGATAATGACGAAGAACTGTTGTAATGGTATTAGGCCTGACAAGAAATTGTTGTACCTCATGCAGACTGTATCGAACAACGAGTGGCACACTTCAAAGATGACTTTTGAGTGAGGAAGTTCCGTGATTAATAGACGAGACAGTAGGAAGCGGAAACCAACAAAGTTGATATACATACATACATATAAGAAAAGATCAGAATCGGCCGCCCAAGAATGTCACCGGTGCAAGGGTCTTGACTTGTCTTGACTTAGGCTACCAGTCTTCGGAGAAAGTGATTGATTGTTGACTCCACTCAGTAACTAAACACGACAACATCCCTGTCCTGGTTACATCCAAATGCTCAGTGCTCACCGAAATGAGTAAGTAGGTAACGGGGAAAAGGAAGGGAAATAGACTACATCGATATATACCTTATCGAAGCAGTTCAAGGGACTGCGGTGCGGGTCGATAAAACCCACTAATCGGGTCTCACAGGGGGGTAACACCATAAAAAGAGGCACTTCCACCACGCTTCTTTGGGAGTGTGATGTAAGAATGGCTTCCATAATGACAGTGATGCGATCCAGACACCTTGGCAGCCAATAGAGTGCAAGCGACTCAATTGCATGCATGCTTAGACCAAAAGCGATACTCGTTTATTGCCGGCCAAACAGACAAGACAAAAACTTCGATTGTGGGGGATCGGGATGCTTATTAAGACAACATCCAGTGTCTCGACTAAGGGCTGTCACACACATAGGTAGGTACCTACCTAGGTATGTATACCCGAATACGTATAGAGATAGGTAATCAATAAACAGTGCAATGGATATCATGAGAATATCATCATCACTACAACAGCCTAGGTAGGCTGTACTAGTACCTACTACGTGGAAGACTGACTAGGTCCTCCCAGTCCTTATTCATCCTGACATGCACGGAACCTTTCGTCCAAGTCCTAGTTACCAGCCATCCCACATGGATGCAAGTATCGACGTTGACAGCCCACCTTGACCCTGTTGTCGACAAGTGCATGATGTCGTAAAAACTTGTACCTTTTTATTACCCTTTTCGACACACGCGGTTACACCAAGGGAGCAGAGCCTCCTAAACCTCGGTCAGCAGAGGAACTTTCTCAGCCAATCAGCTTCACAGCACCAGCTCGCGGTCGATGATAATCGCGACATCTTGACTTATACTAATAGGTAGAATAGCGTTTGACGGCCACCGGTTGCTTCAGACCATGCCAAGCTCACTAGGATCGGCATTCTCTGTTATTATTTGTTCTGTTAGTTCCTCGGCGGGGCTGGGAGCCATAAATTACGACTCATATTCCGGTCCCTTAGATGGCATTGTTGTCTGGTAGGGCGACGCAAGGAAACTGGGATCTCTTTTCTAAATGACATACCCTCCAGTGGCTAACATCAACTCGTCATCTCGAGATGCTTGTCAAGGCCTATTCTGCCTCCTGTCTGAAATATGGGATACATGGCAGCATAACCCTGATGGGTCCTTGATCAACTGTTACAAGATTGGCGAGCCAGACAATTTCGACAACGTCTTCAAACCATCATTTTCAGGACAGAGAATTCAATCATCAATATATACTTAATGTTTTACAGTTCTATAGCCTAGAATACATTGTTACACGGTTGTTCCTAGCCTCGACCTCCAGGCTTTCCAACACGATGAGGGTAATTTCTGATGGTTGCGATGTGCCGGTTCTGCTAATAACGCATTGAACATCCAAAGGAATTGATCAAATGTTTTGGTAGAGTAGAGTGCCGCTTTTCTCTGCGCCTTGCTGTGGCCTCCATGACCTGTGTTGCTTCCTCCTGACGAATTATCGTAATGTCCTGGCCTGACATCAGAGTCCTCGGTTCTGGAATAGGCCTCGCCGTTATCCTCGTTGCTGCACAGCCAATCCTCGCTCTGCCTCAAGTTCTCCTGTATTCCTCCTCCTGTCTTGCCTCCGCAACACTGCGCACGACCAATCGTCGTCGATCGTACCACGGAAGCTACCTTCGCCAACCATGTGCTTGGCGACTTGTCTTTTCGACTCTACTCAAGCTTTTTGAAAGCTGGGGCAGGGGTAGGGGGGTCCTTAGGCGTATCTGTCTCCTCGGGGAATGGTGGGGGTGTACTCTCCTCCTTACCGCCGCCAAAGTATTTCTCAAAGTCCTCGTTGTCACCAAAAGGTCGCTTGCCCAAGATGCGAACCATGTCATCTCGCACGAGAACCTCCTTCTTGAGCAACTCCTGGGCGATTAGTCCAACTTCCTTCTTTTTCGAGGTCAAAAGGTCTCGGCATCGCTGGTAGGCTGCATCCACAATTCGGGAAACCTCCTGGTCGATCTGCTGGGCAGTAGATTCGGCAAATGGCTTCTGCATGCGGTTGGGGTCATTCTCGAAGTGAACGGGGCCCACCTTCTCGGACATGCCCCATTGAGTCACCATGTTTCGTGCCATTTGGGAAACCTTCTTGAAGTCGTCACTAGCACCTGTTGTCACGGTGGGGAAATGAAGCTCCTCAGATACACGGCCACCCATTGTCATAGCCATACGGTCCATGAGCTGGTTGGTGTTCATCAGGTAAGCATCCTGGGGCAGGTACTGAGCATAACCCAGAGCACCTTGGCCGCGGGGAATAATGGAGACCTTGAGAAGAGGGTCAGCATGTTCCAGGAACCAACCACAGATGGCGTGGCCGGCCTCGTGGTATGCAACAGTCTTCTTCTCCTCTGGCTTCAGCACGAGAGACTTGCGCTCAAGACCTCCGATAACCCGCTCAATGGCCCGCTCAAAGTGGTCCATCTTGACCTCATCAGCATTGCCTCGGGCAGCTAGGCAAGTTAGCCAGGTAACACACACAATATCAAAATAGCCGGTAGAACATACCAATTAGAGCAGCTTCGTTGACAACGTTGGCAATATCAGCACCGGAGAATCCAGGGGTCAGAGTTGCCAGGCGACCAACAAGGTATTCGTGGTTCTCGTTCGTCACAATCTTGTTTAGATACACCTTAAAGATTTCCTGGCGACCTTTCATCGTAGGACGATCAATGAAGATATGTCGGTCGAACCGCCCTGGTCGCATCAAGGCTTTGTCGAGCATATCCGCTCGATTAGTGCCAGCAAGAACAACAACCTGCTCGCGAGTATTGAAACCGTCCATTTCAGTGAGAATCTGGTTCAGAGTTGCTTCCCGCTCATCGTTGCCACCGAATCCCCGGCCGCTCTCCTGTCGCGCACGTCCAATTGCGTCAATCTCATCAATGAAGATGATGCAAGGGGCGTTCTTACGTCCTTCGGCGAACAAATCTCTCACACGTGAAGGACCGACACCGACGAACATTTCAACGAACTCAGAGCCGCTCACACTGAAGAATGGTACTCCAGACTCGCCGGCTGTGGCCTTGGCAAGTAATGTCTTGCCAGTACCCGGGGGGCCAGCTAAGATAGCACCTCGGGGGATCTTGGCACCGAGCTTTTCGAACTTCTCGGGCTGCTTCAGGAAGCTCACAAACTCCATGATCTCGGTTTTTGCCTCTTCAAGGCCAGCAACATCTGAGAATTTGACCTTAACAGCACTCTCGGCGTTGAACTTTTTAGCCTTGCTCTTGCCGAAGTTGAACATACCTCCTCCAGCGCCACCACGTCCACCCATTGACCGCTGAGTCCACAGGATCAAACCGATGAAGAGGAGTGTAGGACCAAAGGCCAGAAGAAGGTTGCCAAGGGTACTGCCGCCAGCCTCGTAGCTCACAGGTATCCTTTCAGAAGGCGGAATACCCAGCTCATCTTGCGCCTGTTCTAACTTTCGCTCGAAGGATTCAACAGACCCTATGGAGAACACGTAGCTCTTTCTCGCAGGTTGCCCGCCCTCACCAGTAGCTCCAGTTGCAGATGGATGAAGCTCTACCCGCACATGTGAGCCATTAACGACAATCAGCTTCTGAACCAGGCCCTTATCCAGGAATGCTTTCCGCATCTCTTGCCAAGTAATCTCCTTCTCAGAGAAAGGGTTGGCAAAGAGTTCCGCAATCCATACAGTGACACCAATGGCGATACCAGTCTGAACAGCCTCCAGCCACCCGCTGCGCTCATTCTTCGGTGGCTTGCCACCCTTCTGCTGGTGCTGCTGTTGTTGCTTCGACTTGTCAGTGTTACCCTTTCCGTCCTGAGTCTTCGGTTCCTGGTCCATGCGGAAGGAGGAAAATTGCCCATCCCGGTTCTCCTGTTGATCTTCCAACTCTATTATCCGTTCTGTGACCATGTATACACATCGCATAAGCCTTCCCTTGTCCAAGATCGAAAGGTTCCCGTTCTGGCGTTGCTTCTGAAGAAGGTCTCGGGTCTCGGCAGGAGCGCCAACAATTTGAAGTTTCTCAAGAATGTCCTTCGCCACCGGCCTCTGAGCCTCTGGAAGTCGACTTGTAAATTCCTCGAGATGTGCCAGTTCTTCCTTGTTCAAGTGAATCCAGCCTTCGGGCAGAGGTGGCGGCTTTGGTGCGTCAGACTTGCTTCCATCGGGCCCGTTCTTTGCACTGTGTTGATTCAATGGCTTGCTTCCATGCTCATCATCTTTTTCGGGGTTTGATCGGGGACCTTTGCCGGGAGGTGGGGGTTGCGAGGAATATGTCCTTGCTCGAATGGCGAATGCGGCAGAAGTCTTTGCGGGGATCGATCGGGTGACAAGTGACGGCCTTACACATAAGCGCAGTGCAGGCTGTGTTGACAATCTCGTCGCTCGTGCGAGCTGGCTTGATTGTCTTAAAAATCTCGACATGGCGGGCAACGCAGGCTGTCGCAAGTGCGGAACTACCGGGGTTGTGTGTATAGATAAAGGTAATTGAGAGCGCCGTGCTATCTCATGGGGCAGCACGGCTCAAGCCAGCGATGCTATTGACTAATATTTGAGGCCGGTATACAGTCGTATATGGCGAGAACTCGGAGTCCCAGCGCCAATGGGTGAATATGGATATGTTGGATGACACCACCAAGTGAAAGCTTCTGGTGATGAGTCTACAGTGGTTGCTTAGCTCGAAAACTGAGGATCACGTGTTGGGGAAGCTGCTGAGTGTGGGGTCAACTGTGGGCGGAAGGTGAGAGGATTGGCTGATATAATCGCCTCGGGGAATGTGTCAGTACGTCAATGAGTGATGCCTGTTCTATCTTACCATGCGTAGGCCTGTCCAGCTCTGCAATGCTTGACATCTCAGGTAATGGTGTGAAGTAATACATCAAATGAATCATCGGTTTTGCACTTGTTAACCTAGGGGAGAAAAGAAAACTCGAGACCTTGATCCTAATTGATAAAAAGACTTCGGTAACTTTATATAAATTTAGGATATCTTTATTAAGTTTAGGATATCTTTTACTGAGTTTATTTTGGCACCCTATATAAAGGTCTGGTATTTTTTTGCTCTCTGAGGAACACCAACTATAAGTGACAAAGACCTAGGCAAGTTTCGTACAACATAGTGTAGATTTGGTAGACCTTAGATTATATATTTTTTGACACTTTGGCCCCAAGACAGAAGTTCTCTTGCTCCTGAAGGTTCATCTACTACCCTATCGCTCCACCCATTCCAGGTTGTGGATGAGAATGGATCGTATGAGGCCATCACCTTTCACTGGAACTCGGCATTCTTCCTTTGATTCAGTGAGATGCAAGAGGATTTCTACATCCTTGGCTCCCTCGAAATCAGGCAAGTCACGCCAAATTTCAGTCTTTGACTTTTGGGCAATTGGGTGGTTGAAGTACAGCTGCAACACACGACGGGCCTGCTCATCGTCACCGATTTCGAACAGGACCACACTGGGCTTAAGGAGTTCTGCAATGTCCAAAAGCCGTGCGTAAAAGACGTCTGCTGGGTTGCATTTACTGGGGCAAGGGAGGTCCTTATCGGGGACCAATGCGAGGCGCGGTTCATATTTTCGGACTGAATAGCCAAGTTGCCCACGGCCATGATGCCAGATATCTTCTGATATATATGGAGGATTAGACACGAGAATATCCCAGGGGGTAACGGCGAGCTGCTGCATGTCGCCATCACTGAAAACGTTTGCCCTTGTGATGTCAAGGCGCTTGTGTTTTGTGGGCTTAACCAAATTTCCAAGCCTGACGTTCCGTGCGATGTTCTCCTGTGCGAGTCGGAGGGCTACAGGTGAAACATCCACTCCTCGCACGGTCAAATTGTCAACTGAGTGCTGGAGGGATGAGAAAAGTCCAAGAGGTATACAACCAGTTCCTGTGCAGAAGTCGATTATGTTTACTCCGCGGGCCGTTTTCCTTACATCTTGTCCTAGAAGCTCCCCTGATTTGATGAGGTTTATTAGATGGAAAGTGTATGCTTCGGTTTCTGGTCTAGGTATTAAAACACCTTGTTTGCACTTGATGTCAAGTGAGCCAAATGGCTGAGAGCCGATGATATACTGAAGTGGCTCACCACGCCCCCTTCTTCGACATAGATTCTCTAACAACCATGATTTGTTTCGTGACCGTGATTCATCGACATGGCTCCTTAGCCATCGGAGCTCATTCTGGGCAGAATTCAAGTCCCGGCAAGCTGGAAGAAGGCTTGCGATATGTGGCGAAAGGCGCCTAGCACGCCGCAACAAAGATGGCTGAATGCGCGGCATGACGAAAGAACTTCATTGTTGAGCCTGCAATGGTGAAAGTTAATGTATGGCAGAATTGGAAGCATGCCATCAGCAAGTTGAGGTTGGATGTACATATTGTCATGATTAACCGACCTTTAACCTGTCGCGCCTTGAAGCTTCGAGCCTCTGAGGGCAGCCCCTGCATCACCTTGCTTTATTCTTTAACTCTTTGCTCACAACTTGACCAACTCGCTCAAGATACAACCTCCTTTTGGATCTTTTTGGTGCTGTATTCTCTAGAATTTCTCGCCGAGCGATTCGAGCGATTCGAAACGCAAACTGCTGACATTCTTGGATTTTTGTTGCAATCGCCACTTTACCGCCAAATCTCAAACCACCTAACACTCTGATCAAGAACTGAAGATGAACGCGCCTGATCGGTAAGACCGTCTTTTTTTTTCTCTCTCTTTGTCTGTCACTTTCTCTCTTTATTCAGGTCTCCTCTCGTGTGTTTTCAGGCTGCTTGCACTTCTCTAAGTCTGGCAAAGAAAGAAAAAAACACAGATATCAGGTCAGAGTCCAAAACTACACGCTCTTATTATCCTGCTTGGTCAAGCGCCATGTGAAGCCAAATGCCCAATATTGATTCGACAATCGGTCTGTTCCTTAGCATAGGGAACATCTTTCATTCTGGCAAGTTGCTAGCTTGGTCTGTCTCATCACCCTGCCGTCAGTTGGTTGAGAAAGCATTATGCGACTGGCAGTGTTACTTAGTTGGCATTACCCCTAAGTATAAATGCCCAGCCTTTTTTAAGGCAGTATGGGTTTTCGAATGTCTGAAAGTCATCAAGTAACTATCCTTTCCTTGGTTCTATGTTCTGCGTTCATTTGCGGCGTCAGTGGCGGGCACTGTCTCTGGGAAAAAATTATCTCGCGAACTGCCTTTGCGAAGCAATTAAAAAACCATTTTCCTCAAGCGAGTCAGGTTTATCTCATCTATTTCAACGCCATAAAAAGCACATAGCATATATTTGCCTTTCCACCAAATATCAAACAATGGCTGGTGGTAACCCCAAGCATTTCAATCTCCAAGATGACCCGTTACGTTACTTTGAACTACTTGACGTCTTTCGCAAGCTAACAAACTTGACAGTTTCGAGTTGTTCCTGCTCGGAGAGGGCGAGAAGAAGATAGAAGAAAAGGTCTTCTCAGGTCAGCTCTCTTACGACTTATGTCTATCCTCTGCTTACAAGATTTTTAGGAATGTCCAATACCTCCGATTTTGTCCTCATGAAAGAAGACCACACTCTGGGTAACCTTCTCTCCGAGCACCTCAAGATGCACCCCAATGTCTACATGGCTGGGTATAAAAGTACAGATCCTGCCGCCCTTGATGAATCTTGTGCTGACATCGTACACAGTTGCTCATCCCAATGTTCCTGAGCTTTTCATTCGAGTCCAGACAGATGGTACCATCACTCCCCGCGATGTCTTTACTTCTGTCTGTGAGAAGCTCATTAAACAACTCGAGATGCTGCATCAGGAGTTCACGCGAGAATGGGAATTGAGACGCATCACCAACACTGGTGAGCAGGGAAACATGCAGAACGGCCACTGAGTTCCGCGTTCATTATCAGGGATCATCTAAAACGGACAGGCATCATGGAAGGTCGGCGTTGGGGCTGCAGGTTACTGCTTATTTATTTTTAACCAGATATAAACTGGAATGAGCTTGAGATCAGACTCTTCTGAGCTATACTGCGGTCCTTGTTTCCACTTGATGTGCATGTTGTGACACACATAAAAAATAGGACGCGCCAGGTTTGCTTGAGTTTAAAAGAGGGGAGGCCTGGGCTCGAGATGAGTTTCGATCGAAAGAGGTTTCGCGATGTCTATGATCCTGGTAGACCATTCTCAAGCAGCTCCTTCTGGACCTTCACCACCGGGGATCAACTGACAGAGTTTTAGTACAAAAAGCAGGGAACGAGTTCCGATTGACTCACCATGCAGATGTTGTTGCCGTTCAGTAGAATCTTGGGAAGTTTAGTGTGGTTACCCGAATAGTCACTATTGAGTTAGCCAGTGCCGGAAATGCAACAATGAAGATGTTGCTCATACAACTCGGTTACATCCTCCAGAACCATATCTATACCGGTGATTAGTTTCGGTAGCGGCGATCTGGCAGAGTAATACTCACTGACGTAGTCATCAAAGCCGACGAGAGTTCCGCTGAATTCTATCACCTTTTCAGTACAATCGTCTATGAGCATGCAGAAACTCATCTCTCACCCTTATCGCCCTTCATAATGACCCAAATCCTGGAGCCTACACACTTGTCGATAAGCTCTGCACAGAAGAGTTAGTATGTAGCTTTGATACATCAAGGATCTCTATGGAGGGCTACTCACCGAGAGGTAACAGTTGGGATGCCATTGTGAAAATGTGACGTGGGTGGATCGAATGAAGAGCTATCGATCTGAAGCGTCTTCTTTGCTCAGAACGATTACTGAAGTGCCGGTCTTAGTTACCGAAAGCCAAATGCTTTATCTCAAAGTTGAGCTGAAGTCGTCAAGGTCGTCGTCTCAAAGTCTCAAATGGGATGGATTATGGAGGTGTGAATAGGTAAGGTACCTAGGCAGGTAGAGCACGTCCCCACGTGCTCTCGCGATAATCGCGGTGACTAAGCCAATTCATTGCCCACCTCCACCCTCCCCAAGCCACCCGCTAACGCTCAGAATCAATGATCGCCCTATTGACGCGGCTGCCTAACGAATCTCACATACTGCGCAGTAGTCTTCGCGTATCAGGGTCATGGGCTTTTGCCACAATGGCTCACCGACGCTGGCTACATTTCAATCACTTCATCCCCCAATGATATTGTCTTCACAGGGGCGCATTGCTGGCAGTGTATCAAGACCCCTGACAAGAACGCGTCAGTTCCTCTCTGTTAGTAGGTATGTTGAGGTACCCGTCTTTGATTTAAAACTTCCTGACGGTTCTATCTATAAAGGAAAGAGTTCAGCTCCAGCATGCCACCAACTATAAACAATCGTCTGTGGAATCCGGCTTTTGGGATCAGGTTCTCTACGAAAAATGATCATCATTCACCTTACCCTTTCCTAGATATTGCTCGCTTCGTCCATACCTCTGCCTCTGGGTCTGGTGATGTCGAAAAGGGAGATATCGAAGCTGACGAGTTCAGCGAAGGTGAAGAGTTCGAGCGTGATGCGGTGGAATGGTTCGATCAACAAGATCGGTTGGTATTGCCTACTACTGAAACAATCTCTAAAGGCACCCAGGTTGCATCAGACACAGGCGGCGATCTCGTCGAGGCCTCAAAGCAGGAGAAAGCACTGACGGAATCCGTCACTGCACCTCTCACATCCTTAGACTACACAATCGACGCCAATCTTTGGGATACAGCCCGGAAGAGTAAGGCTGGCTCCAGCCAGTCGTTCTGGTCCTACAGAATGTATCGCCAAGTTCAAGAAAATGGCGAGGAGCAGAAAGTTAAAGTCCACTACTGCACTTCAAAACATACGATGGAACATGTTTGTGAAAGGTACTTTTCTAACGAGAAAGTCATTGGCTTCGATTTGGAGTGGTTTGTTGCGAGGGGTCCTGCCAGCTCCAACCCTCGACGAAATGTTTCGCTCATCCAGATCGCTAGCCCAAGTCGTGTAGGCTTGTTCCACGTTGCACTTTTTCCCAGGGACGACTTTGTCGCCCCAACCTTCAAGAGGATTATGGAAGACGAAAGCGTAACAAAAGTCGGAGTGGCTATCAAGGGTGACTGCACAAGATTGAAGAACAACCTCGGCATAAACAGTAAAGGGATTTTCGAGCTGTCTCACCTCTACAAACTTGTCAAGTACTCGAAGGCTGGAGAGCTAGACCGAATCAATAAGGTCATGGTGTCTTTAGCCGTGCAGACACAGGAGATGTTAGGTCTTCCGTTGTTCAAAGGAGATGATGTGCGGTCCAGTAATTGGATGATGCGTTTGTCAGCAGATCAAGTTGCATGTGAGTTAAAATTTACGCCATCTGTTCTTCTGTAGCTCACGCATACATAGATTCCGCATCAGATGCATATGCTGGTCTCCAGCTGTACTACGTGCTTGAGCAGGAACGCATGAAGCTTCAGCCTACTCCTCCTCGACCAGCTTTCGTCGAGCAGAATCTTCCTATTCGGTTCTTGACCGCTGATAATGTTGACGAAAGTGATACGACTTCAGATTCTGGGGAACATGAGGTTGTTACTGATGTTGAGGTGAGACTTGAAACACCAGAAACCAGACCTACGCCATCGATCGCAAAGCCCACAACAAAGGCTACACCCCAACCAGAGGACAATCCTCATGATACAAGGGATCCCCGTATCCTTGCTGCCGAAAAGCACGCTCAAAAATACCACAGCATAACGCGCCCCAAGTTGACACCACCATTGTCGTCTCTTCGCACTTATTACATGTGGTATAACAACCAAGATCTTACACCAGAGGTTGTTGCTACACTCTTACGTACTCCTCCTCTTAAGACAAACACTGTTGTTTCCTATATTCTTGATGCCATCGTCTCTGGAGGGTTGCCTTATTCCAAGGCGAGGCTTAGAACTGAGGTATTAGTCCACCTTGCCCCCCAATCACTAGTGAGTGCCAGGTATCGAGCATTAGTGGATGCAAGTCAAGCGTCTGAAGAAGAAGAACTATAAAATCGATTCTAGGATTCGAGTGGACGCAGCTTCGCTGCAAACTGGATTGGAAACGAATTGATGAAGACTGCTTTTTACCTTGGATCAGGTTGTAATTCGTGACCTTCAGTCCTATTGCCAATTGGACACTTAAGATCCTTAAAATATTCCAGCCATATCATCTAAGAACACAATAACTATTTTTGGTATAAAGTAAAAGCCGGGTTTGGGTCTCCATTTCTACTACACTATGATCCTGGCCCAAACAGATTACGGCCTCTGTTGATCTGAACCTTCTTGTCCTCACCACCACTCACAATACCCCAGGATTGATCCCAGGCCACACCCAACACCTTGGCTCCATCACCAGCGGCGGGGAGCTTCTTGCCCTTGAGCCACTCTCGGCCTATGGTGTACACTGGCTCACTGACGCTTCCGCCACCCTCTTCCGATGTACCCATCCGCACGCTTCGAAGATCCCACACACGGCATGTACTGTCGTGAGAGCCAGACACAAGCGAGTGATCGTTTTCGGGTGAAGGCGCCAAAGAAACAACCATATTAACGTGCCCGCGGAGTGTCATGGCTGAGGTAGTAGTAGCTGACTCGCGGGGGTCGAGGAGGGTAATATGTCGGGCCGATGAACCAGCAGCAACAAGCGAGGATCCGGGGAGCGCCGTTGCGCATAATAGTGGGTGCATGGTAGTGAGTCGGCTGACCTCGCGCTGGGTTGTTAAGTCAATAGTGCGAACAGTATGATCTTTGGATGCCGAATAGGCGACCGTTGCGTCGTTGGGATGAAAGATGGCAGCAGTCACAGGCTCATCATGGACAAGGATCAAAGCAAGAGGGCCACGCTGTGCAGTGTTGGCGGCACTTGCAAGCTTGGCTCGCTTCGTGCTATGCGCAGAAGGCAAGCTCTCAGGGTCCGCTTGGGGAGCTGTTCTTTTTGACGATGTCCAAAGGCCAACTTTACCGTCAGATGATGCTGTGAGAATGCGCTTAGTGGCTCCGTTAATGTCAAGACTGTTGATTTCCTTCTCATGACCCCAGAGTTCCATGCTGGACTTGAGGGCACCAGAGAAACCATCCTCGGACTCGCTATAGTCCCAGACAATAACCTTGCGATCCAGGCCAACTGAAGCCAGCTGCTTCTGTGAGATCCACCTAACCGCATTCGCTCGCTGCGTGTGACCACCAGCTCGACCAGCAGGAGACACTGCGATTGCGTCTCCAGAAGGGTTCCAGACTCTAACGAGGCCGTCATAGGAAGCACTCGCAACTCGTTCGGGGATGTTACCACCACCAGCCAGAAGGCCTGCTCGTGAAGTGGCAGATAGGAGGTCTATACCTCCGACCCAGTCGTCATGCTCAAAGCTCGCTTCGTATACCGGAGGAAGCAGGCTTCGAACATACTGCAAAGTCAGGGTGGATTCAGATGAAAGACCATTTTTTGCAAGATACTCTTCGATAGAAGTTCGGAGAAATGTGCCATTGGCGAGAAAGTCGAGGGGTATAGGAGAGGAGGTATCGAGCATAGACTCGGAGTTGAGAATGCGAGAGAGGCCATATCGTTTAATATCTATGATGAGTATTAGCCCTTTAATCACTCCAAGGTATCCAAGAACACCAATAACTGACCTGCAGGCACGAGCAATTGTTGTTTAGAGTCTGGGAGTACCAAATCCTGCTCAGTGGTGGTGAAGACGACCTTCACCTGTGCAGCGTCCCCCATTTTGGCGTGGTTGATCAACTGTTGTTATCCTTCGAATTATTTTCCAGGTAAGTCGATTTGAGGTTGTAGAATAGAAGACTTTTACTGATTTTGAAGCCTATTGGGCTCCGGGTATCTCGAACAATTTGCTGTGGTGAAAAGTATGCTTGTGGCAGATCAGCTTGCAAAGATCTTGGCAAAATCTAGAAAATTTTGGAAAATTTTGTAGCCTTGCAGGACCTTCGGCCCCACTGCGGGGAGCCAAATCCGAGACGCTGGCCAATGACGATGTTGGTGATTGCAAGGCTGAACCACTTTCCTGATGCTCATAACAGACTTGAGATAAGTATACAAACATGATACGTTAACATAAGGTAGGATAAAGACATGTTTTGCAGGGCAACTTCTTCGGGAGTCTAGCAACCAGGGCTGGCTTACTATTTTGAAGCATCCAGTCAAGCAAATCCAATTACGATGTGGGTGATCCAGTTCAAGAGCTCTTGAAACTGGATGTTTCCATCTCTCGAATAAGAACTTGAGTCTGGTATCAAATCCTTTCTCAAAGGTTCAATGAGTCCATTGTGTTTTAAGTCGATCCCTTAGAACTAGCCAAAAAAATACATTCTATGTAAGTTCAGTCTCGAAACTATTATTCATCAGGGAGGTTATAAGAGCTACTTTGTAGGTGTTACTTGGACCATTTTACTTCATCTTAATCTCAACGCAATCTCCAAGGGCTCCCCTAGAGCATTTAGATAGAGAATATAGGTATAGATACATCATCTCCTAGTATTACAATGCAAGTAATCTTACTAGATGCATAAATGGTCTTAGCTCGTCGGACCCTGATCTTGAATAAGTCATTCTAACTTCATCCTAAGATTTGTAGATCTGGACTTATAATAGTCTAAAATCATATGAACTCTTGCGCTGAGGTTTGTCGAATGAAGTCACAATGTTTCTTGCATGCTTGTTTTCTAGAAACAGGACCATTCCTGAGTCAGCTCGCGAGCCGATAACTTATGCCGGCGACTCTTGTTGAGGGAGAAACGCATTGTCTCTTTGTGACGAAGTAATCATGACGATTCTCGCTAACGACTGCTGCTACATCTGGTCGCTTGTATCGCTGCTTTAAGAAAATCCGGGACATTATTGCTGGACAAAATAAACGCGTATTCTGTTACCGTGGCATTTGGAGTAATGAAGCTCTTCAAACTCACCCCCATCTGTCTCAATAGAGGCAGGGAGTCGGGTTGACGGAGCAGTCCTGACATATACATGCTTGTTAATCCCGTAACCGTGGGGAGCTAATCTTGTAGTGTTTTAAAGGAGAGACATACAACACTGGATAAGGGAGTTGTTCGAGACGAGAGTATTACGACTTAAGCCGCAGAGGTTCAGTCCGTAGCAACAGGCCACCTATCTCAGTTTGTTTACTCGCAGTTTGAAATCTGTTGTCAATTTCCGATCAAGTCGGGCAAACTTAGTGGATTCTCTGTAGGTGACAAGAGGTTTCCTTATACGTTATAGATCTGCAGTTGGCAAGAAAATATGATGCACTGGCCGAGGGCAATAGCAATTTAGAGAGTGACTTTGCTAAAAGATTACATACAATTTAGCCAGCTTTAAGGTATAGAAAGCCCCGTGTGCTTTTTTAATTCAGTGAGATAATGAATCCATAGACACTTAGTAATTTGCCGTAGGATTAATACTCTTATCCTTCTCCGATTAGTACTCTATAGAGTAGGAGCATGTATTTTGCGCTAACAGACATGATAATGCTGGCATCGATTTCAAAGACGTATCATGATACAAACAGGATTCCAGTGAACTTGGGGAAAAACCACATCTGCTGAACATGTCGATCTCTGGTATTCCCCCGCATTCCATGACCTCATCCCGACATCTCCAAAGAAGTGCCAGACCTGCGTCTGGCCATACACAAGACAGGTCAATTTTTTAGAATGAAAAGTTTTGACTGGTCCTTGTAACCTAACTTAGTCGCTAGTGTGGTGAGAAGTAAAAAGTCTGCGCCGCGTGCCCTACAGAACGGGTGGGAGATTTGCGCATGCCGTTGAGGAAAAACGTCGAGGCGTATCGACTAATACTATGTATGTAACAGGCGAGGGAAGAGAGAAAAATCTACCCATGCTCCTCAACAAAGGGACTCAATCTCATAATGGCGTAACATCGAGACCTGGAAATGGCAGTGAAACACCTTGATCAATGGGCCGGCCTCGGCTCTTTGACCGGAGTGGCGTTCCCTTTGATGTCAAGTTTGTGGCGTTTGGCCAAGTCCATTTCTGCGCGGTTAATCTTGATTGAGTTTAGGGAAGCTGGCAATTGAGACCTCTCAAAGCAGTTTCTTCGCGTGAGGTGTAAAGAAAAAGAGGTTCCAACGATCTGATGGCAGTCAGACATATGGTGATCGCTGATATATTTTTACTTGGAGGCTCAGTTGAAGAACACACTAATGTCACGCTCAATCGACTCCTCCAGGCATTAACCCAGGACATTGTCTTTCTAAAAGTATGTACATACATATGTAAGACGTTGACCCTGGTCCCTGTCCTTGGGAGCCAAGAGAACGGGTCCATGTGGCGATAGGAGACCTGCCCTGGATTCCACAGTTATTTGGGCTTGGTATACGGGCCTTTAGGTTGGCTTTTGTTTAGGCGCCGTTGCTAGGAGCTTGGGGCCCCGACATCCCACCGACCCCACCCAAGCTTGGGCCGCTAGTACGCCAAAGTACGAGCTGAAGCCTAAAAGCTGTACCCGAAGAGCATCAACACCACCTGCAGGCAATATCACGGCCGATAGTTGCTGTAGTGGCCTCTTGGTACCTGCCGAGTACATTATTACACCATCTTTTTTGTGAACTCAACGCCCTCTACACAATCCCCCTCCATGTTGGTTTCTTGCTTGCTTCCAACTTCCTGGGCTCGAAATTCCTCCCTTATACTTCCATCTTTCCTTTTCATTTTCCCTACCTTACCTTTCCCTCTCCTCCTCACCACAATTGGGTCCCCTCTCACCCTCTCTCATCTCAATTGGTGTAGCGCTTCAAAACACCAAAGCAAATCAATCACCACCGCCTGGACCTGAGATCCATCGTACTAGGTATAGCAGTACCCATCGCTGTTAGTCTTTCTGGCTCCTACATCTCCGCTCCCCATGGGCACATATCCATCTGCCAATGGATCCCCCATCCCCTGTGAATGCCCCATGTTCGCTCAGTGCTCATCCATCCATCGCACGCAGATCCGTTTCTTAGGCTAGGTTCACTCTCATCAGCGGCACAGTGACGCAACATCGAGACCACCACCATCTCGATTCGATCCCTCCGTTTCGCTTCTGCCGAATTCCCCCAGCCACGCGCTTCGCTACTCCCGAGAAAACTTCTCAATTGGCTTCGTGGACCATCGTTACAGCTTCCTACTCCTTTATTATAGCTCCTTTCCCAGCTCTCCAGCTCTCCTGTTACTGTCCACCTGAAAGATTTCTGCGCTAGCTCCACTGCTCAATTCAACGCGACCAGACCCCTGGCCGAAGCCCATCAGATCATCGCGTTTACTATCTACTCTTCTTCCCCTCAGCGACTTACTCCTCACTTCTTGAATTGAGGTAAACACGTCAAGATGAGTGAAGGCGAGCAGCAGACTCGCGACATCAAGAACCACCTTCTCTTTGAGATTGCTACTGAGGTAGCTCATCGAGGTCAGTCATTTGCGACCGCTGAATCCTTCATTCTCCCGAGTCTTCACATACTAACCCGCGGCGCAATACAGTCGGTGGTATCTACTCGGTTATCAAATCCAAGGCTCCTGTTACAACAGCTGAATATGGCGATCGCTACACCCTGATTGGTCCCCTCAACCATCAATCTGTAAGACTTCAGCTTGAAGATTCCCATGACTCTCACGTACTGACCACAATAGGCCGCCGTCGAGGTGGAGGAGATGGAACCCACCAGTCCGGAGATCGCTGCTACCCTACAGTCCATGAGAGATCGAGGAGTTCACATTGTTTATGGCCGTTGGTTGATTGAAGGGGCTCCCAGAGTTATTCTCATTGATACCAAGACTGCCTATGGTCGCATGGATGAGTGGAAGGCCGATTTGTGGGAAGCTGCGAGCATTCCTTCACCACCTGGTGACGATGAGACCAACGAGGCCATTGTTTTCGGTTATCTGGTCGCCTGGTTCCTAGGAGAGGTAAGTTCGCTTGACCATTCCACTCATGTCAGATCTGCTAACCGTAATATCTTATAGTTCGTCTGCCATGAGAAGAAGAGAGCTGTCATTGCTCACTTTCACGAGTGGCTTGCTGGCGTTGCCCTGCCCCTCTGCAAGAAGCGCCGCATCGATGTGACGACGATTTTTACCACGCACGCCACTCTTCTCGGCCGATACCTCTGCGCTGGCTCTGTGGATTTCTACAACAACCTGCAATGGTTCGATGTCGATGCTGAGGCTGGTAAGCGCGGTATCTACCACCGATACTGCATTGAACGAGCAGCCGCGCATGCATGTGATGTTTTTACCACAGTCTCTCACATTACAGCGTTTGAGTCTGAGCATCTGCTGAAGCGAAAGCCTGACGGTGTTCTGCCCAATGGTCTGAATGTCACAAAGTTCTCGGCGGTTCACGAATTCCAAAACCTGCATCAGCAGGCAAAGGAGAAGATTCATGACTTTGTTCGAGGCCACTTCTACGGTCACTACGACTTTGATCCCGACAACACACTATACCTCTTCACCGCCGGTCGTTACGAGTTCAGGAATAAGGGTGTCGACATGTTCATTGAGTCCCTAGCACGATTGAACCATCGTCTCAAGGCCGCTGGAAGTAAAGTGACAGTTGTTGCTTTCATTATCATGCCTGCTCAGACCACTTCGCTCACTGTGGAGGCGCTGAAGGGCCAAGCGGTTATCAAGTCACTCCGAGATACCACACACGTTATTGAGCAAAGCATTGGCCGTCGCATCTTTGAGCGGTCTCTTAAGTGGCACGAGGGTGATCCCATGCCCGATGAGAAGGAACTCATCTCTGCTCAAGACCGAGTTCTACTTCGCCGTCGTCTCTTTGCCATGAAGCGTCACGGACTTCCCCCAATTGTCACCCATAATATGCTCAACGATCATGAGGACCCTGTCTTGAACCAGATTCGACGTGTGCAACTTTTCAATCACCCCACTGACCGAGTCAAGGTAGTCTTCCACCCCGAGTTCCTCAACTCTGCCAACCCTGTTCTTCCTCTCGACTACGACGACTTTGTCCGAGGTTGTCATCTGGGCGTCTTCTCTTCGTACTATGAGCCTTGGGGCTATACTCCCGCCGAATGTACTGTCATGGGCGTGCCCAGCATTACCACTAACCTTTCAGGTTTTGGATGCTATATGGAAGAGCTTATCGAGAACTCGAGCGACTATGGTATCTACATTGTGGATCGACGAACCAAGGGCGTTGACGATTCCGTTAACCAGCTCACTTCCTTCATGTACGACTTTTGCGGCAAGAGTCGCCGCCAGCGTATCAACCAACGAAACCGAACAGAGCGTCTTAGCGACCTCCTCGACTGGAAGCGTATGGGCATGGAGTATGTCAAGGCTCGTCAGCTAGCGCTACGCCGTGCCTACCCCAATTCCTTCAGTGGCGACGATGAGGAGGATGACTTTATACCTGGTGTCGAGCAAAAGATTTCCCGACCCTTCTCTGTTCCCGGTTCACCACGAGATCGCACTGGCATGATGACTCCCGGCGATTTTGCCAGTCTTCAGGAAGGCCGTGAAGGCTTGAACACTGAGGACTATGTTGCATGGAAGCTTCCGTAAGTGAACGTTCGTGCTTGATGTGACACCCTTACTAATATCGTTCGCAGTGAGGAAGAAGACCCCGACGAGTACCCATTCCCCCTCACTCTTCGAACGAAGCAACCTGCCCCCCATAGCCCTTCTGATAATGTACCTGTCAACGGAACCCAGTAGGACCGATATTTCAGACTCTTTCGGACAGGGCTTAGAGAAGAGGCTGAAGGGGAGGGACTGTATTTGAGTAGACGGGCGAACTTTGATTAATTATTGTTGTTTTTATGGGAACGAGAAAGAGGTGGAAAGGAGCTTTCTCATCAGGCAGAAGCTTGTATGTCATTACTAGTGTTGACGCACATCCGCATTGTCGCAATTTGCATCCTGTGCTTTTCTAGTTAACTAGTTACATCCACTTGGGAAATCTGTTTATGAAGCCTCTGCAGCTATTCCAGCCCCCGGCATGGTGAATTGATCCAAACAACCGAGTAACCTCAGACGTGTAGGTGCCTTAACCTGACCTTTGGCAATTCGAGCTCGGTAGGTATGGTGCCAAATACAGCAGCCCACCTAGTCTAACGCCCACCAAGGTTTTATATTGCTAAGATATGAACCCCAAGTGTTCTTATCGGCTTGGATCGGTAGCGTGACTATCCTAAAGGGCAACGACGTTTTTTACGATATGAGAGTTACATGGGCACAGTAATATTTAGGAATAAATAGTTCGGTTTATTTTTTATTTATGTTTTTCTTTTTAACCCAGAGGGATATTGAGTCACCTGAATGTTCAAATCTTCGTCGACAGAAAGTCAAAGCGTATCGTAACCATGGATCCATTGTAATCGAGAGACGAAAAAGTAATATAATAGCCCCATTTATATCATCCAACGACAGCCCTAGAGCTTCTCATAACACAAGGAAGGCGGCTACAGTAATGTATGGCTGATCTAGGGGAGGAAAGAAAACACAAGACCTCGATCCTAGATGACAAAAAGACTTGGGGTAATATAGCCTAAGTTTAGGATGACTTTTGCTAAGTTTATTTTGACACCCTACAGTAAGGTTCGCTGTCTTCTTGCCCCCGAGGGCTGATGTCAAGACGATTGTACGATACGTTACAACGAATCCAAGCCTCCAAAGCCAGGGTAGCATGATATGCACCGTGCAGTTGCATGCGGGAGCGAATGAGACCCCTAGAGCTGAAGGACGTAAATTGGAGAAGTTTATCATCAGCACATGGTTCGCCATTGGCGGTGAAGGATATGGCACACTTGATGCAGCGTGAATGCATGGCAGCGGGACGATGCCGTGGTGACAGACGCTTAGTTGCGTGTAAACAAATGGTCTTCATCATGACAACATGTCGAAGTGGGCAAGGGAAGCGTTCTAGCTTAGTTGGTTGGAGGTCATCATGATTCGAAAGAGAAGATTTGCCAGCCCATGAGGAGTGTGTTCCTTTGCACTAAACTTAAACATGAGAGAAGCCATGCGTTTTTCTTTCCGTTTGTATTCGCTCATTGGTTGTTCTTTGTTTTGGTGCTGCAGTCATGATATTGTTCAGGCCCTTTCCTTTGTCTAGAGGCGGATACTGTAGCTGCATTGACACCCTAGGCCATCACATCACACTGCATCGCACCACCATTTTCAGACTCTCGCGGGTCACTCAAATCCTTGTTGCGGTTCAGACTTCCCCGGGTTTCTTTGCTTGTCTCCCTGTCCATCCCCTGTATAGTCCCTGTCCGAACCCCTCCGGGAGAGGGTTCAGAAGCGGTGACAACGAACCAAACAAAGCCTGAACCTGAGGGCAAGAGGAAGAGGGATGATAGGATTGAGGGAGACTGGGAAAGTAAAAGAGGGCCGGCTGCCCTCATAATGAAGAGGATCTAACTCTTCCCTTCTCTGATCTAACCCAGTCCCTCTCATTTTGTTCCGTGAGCATTCACGGCGTTGGCACTCTTCATCTATTGCTATCCTCTCTTTGTCAATACCTTCACTCCACTTTGAGTCTGAGCACAGCCGACTTCTCCTGCATATCCAACAACTGTCGACTGTTTATTTACAGGCATACATCTCACCCATAATAGCTGCATGCTTCCTGACTCCCGTCGTCTTCTGTCTCTATCCCTCTCTTTTCCCCAGAGACAAGACTAAATACTCCCATCATCTCGTTGAATCCCCACCACCTCACCCTTTTCGAATTTCCGGTCTAGTTGGCCCGCTGCGACAACATCCATCCTGCCGCATTTCTCCCGGCGTTCAATTTCTCCGGTTCGCTTCTCCTGGACAAGACCTTGCGTCTCTCAACCGCCTCAGAAACGTCGGTACCTCAGCTCATCAGCAACAGACTACCAGCCGATCAAGTGCCCAATACCCGTGCTCATTCCCACTAAAACGAAAGCCAAAGCTAAAAGCCGACGGTACCTGACGGGAACTAAAAATATTGTTAGCACAGCCAAGAAAAGCTCGTTGCTCCCCGAGAACAAAGGTTGCCCCCCTTTTTGCCAGATGCGGCGTGGGGTGTAAACAAATGAGACACGCCCGCAATCAGTACCCGACACCGAAATAAGGGCCCCCAGCTGGGCCTTTCCGCCTCCCAAGATGCCTTCTGCTACAACAACAACATCTACGGTTCCTCATAGACCAACGACTCCAAAACTCCGTCCCAGGAGCTCCTCACGCGCTATCCGAAGACCGAACAGTGCTGCATCAACCCCTAACCTCAAGACCGCATACTCTTCGCATTCGCGCGCCGCGCCGCCGCCTCTACCGCGCAAAGGTTCCCTGGCCCAGCTCACACAAGGGTCCCTCGCCAGCATCCCCGATGTTTCTGAGAGCTACGCCGTTGATACTGTCCTGAGCGACTCCTCACAAAACATGATGCCTCCTACGACGCCCGGTCGCTCACAGGCTGTGAACGTTGCACTTGGTGATATTGTTGATGTCCCTGGTGGAATGCATGGCGTTGTTCGTTTCGTTGGTCCTGTGCAAGGTAAGAAGGGAGTTTTTGCTGGTGTCGAGCTCGACCAAGACTTTGCTAGCCGAGGCAAAAATGATGGCGATGTGGACGGGTAAGAATAATGCAGTGTGTTGTTTCATGGGTTTTCAGACACTGACAGGAGCCAACAGCATATCATACTTCACAACAACGATCCCTGGCGCCGGTATCTTCTTACCAGCCGCCAAGGCCCTTCCTCGTCGCGATTCGATTCCGCCCTTCCCCATGACACCAGGCGCGATGGGTGGACTTCGGGCTGGCAACCAAAACTCACTCAACTACGCTTCCCCAACACCTGGTCTTCCCAAGTTCAGTGCTTCTGTTGGACCCGGTGCCCGGGCTCCCAGTCCTCAGCAAAAGCTGGCACCCAGAACTTCCCTTCCCCGGCCCGACTCTCCTGTACGCCGGATGCAGATGACGCCTGGCCCAAGACCATCCATGACAACACCAGCCAAAACTCCCACCAGATATGGGAGCCCAACGCAGTCACGCTTCGCTCAGAGCGTCCGCGGTACATCAGGTGATCCGAGCAAGAGACCACAGAGGATGGACCGGAAGCCAAGTCATGGGCCGCGAAGTGCTTCAGCCTTGGGGTCGATATCAGGCCTTGATGATGATCCCGCACCTTTGGGAATCCAGCGAACCGGTACTAACGGAAGCTCCGGGTCAGTCTCGTCGTTCGCCATGAAGATTCGACCTGCGTCGCGCATCAACGTTAATGATGAGGAACTCGATCGACTGCGATCACAGATTGAAGATCGTGATCGGCAACTAAAGGAACAATCCGCTACATTAGCCGACATGGAGAGTAGCCTAGTTGAACTGCAAGGTCTCATGGAGCAAGCAGACATGCCGACAGAGCAACGAAACAGCTGGGACAACAAGGACACCGCGCAGCTGCGCCAACTGCTGAGAGAAAAGAACGACAAGATAGCCATGCTTACAGCAGAATTTGACGCTCATCGAGCTGACTTCCGGAGCACTATCGACACTCTGGAGCTTGCCAGCACCGAAACGGAGCGCGTGTACGAGAAACGGATAGAGGAGCTGATGGCCGATGTTCGAGAACTCGAGTCACGTAATCTAGACGTCGATTCTGTCGCGACCCAACTAAAGCAACTGGAAGAACTGGTCCAAGAACTCGAGGAAGGTTTAGAGGATGCTCGTCGGGGTGAAGCAGAAGCTCGAGGGGAAGTTGAGTTCTTGCGAGGGGAGGTTGAGCGAACAAGGACGGAATTGCGTCGCGAGCGTGAAAAATCATCGTCAGCTCCTCCAGCAAATGGCGATCATACAGTATCTTCCAAAGAGCTTGAGCAAAAAGACGATGAGATTAGAGGCCTCAAAGCCATCATTCATTCCCTCAGCCGAGACTCTATTCCTGGGGAGCCCAAACCCCCTGCACCAAGGCCTGGCTCATTGATGGCCGAAGATGTTGTGGCGAATAAGATCGCGCGCGACAATCTCGAGCGACAAGTTGCTGAGCTGCAATCTCTCCTTGAAAAGAAAAACAGCCGCGAGGACGAACTCGAGAAGGAACTTGAATCAATCCGTCAGAATGGTACAGCGGCCAACAGGTCTTCTTTCAGAGACTCCCGAGACACTGTCGTTATGGCCCAGGCAATGGAGAACCGACCAGTCGAGAACCTCAAGAGATCCAGTACCGCTACACATAAGCGGGTCAGCACCCTCGACACAATGCCAGAGAGTGACGACTACTCCAATGCTACAGAGACTAGCACCCTCTGGTGTGAGATCTGTGAGACTAACGGTCACGATATCCTAACTTGCACCAACATGTTCGGTCCTGATGGTGCAAAGACCAACGGCGAGTCTAAGGCCATCAAGAAGGCCAGCCGCGAGGAGCTTAAGCCGCATACCCCTACAGGTGATGATGCCCCTGCGCCTCTCACACCATTCAGACTCAAGAATGCTGGGCCTGCCTCTCCCGCAGTTAAGATCATGCCGAACCCCATGGAGTCAGGCCCCGTTGCTGGCAAGGAAAGTGGCATCATGGACCCCGAGAAGTGGTGTGCTCTATGTGAGCGTGACGGCCATGACAGCGTGGATTGCCCCTTCGAGGATGCCTTTTGAGGGTCAAATTCAAATATCTGTTTTCTTAACGCATAGCATGTTGGAGAATCATTGGAACGAACATCAGCGTGGCTTTTCTTGAGGCCTCGCGAAGGACCATTAAATTATGCTTGGTGTAAGGGGCGTGATGAAAATCGCCTCATGCGTGTACCCCCTTTTCATGTTCTTATTTTCGAAGCTTGGGTCGGCAGTCAGGTTTTGAGTGCTTGGTCTTTGTCTGGTAAGGCACTCTTCGTGATACCATATTCTTACTTGTGTTTTATGTCATAAACCTGTCTTGTAGCACTTTCCCTGTAAAACTATATGACATGGTGTATCAGACTGTTTTTTTGGTCAATGTCCCTTGGTAATGTGAAGTCCGTAGTTGTGTATTATCTATCGCCTTGGCGTACCTTGAAAAATGTCGCTGCCTATATTTGTTTCCTGCGATATTTGTATTTTCTCCCCTCGAGCACTATGCCACCACCGAACACTCTTCCACAGCTCACCGTCCCACTCACCTGCTAAAGCACGATACTTCATTAAAAACCATATACTGGGCTCCCAACTACGTGAGTCCCACGGCACACCTGCACCCATGCCACGTGAGTTCATCCCAGCTCCCCAGCATGTGAAACCGCCGGAAAGAATATCATGACACAAGGCCCCTTCATCAATGGCATTAGGATCTTGGTCGAGAACGGTGATGAGATTCTCACGGAAGGTTTTAAACGGAATAACATCCTAGCTGCATTAGCACATGAGAGCATGAAGTCATCCATACTGACACACAATATAGGGATGATGTCCAAACGTTAACTGTTTCTCAATCGGCTGAAGGTCAGATGATACGTCCAGGAATTTTGACTTCACAAAGGACAATATGGATGGACGGTGACCTTCGTCCGGCGTGACAGAGAACACACTGCAACCATCATCGCGGAGTATCTCGTCCACACCCCCCATACCGAGAGCGTAGCAGTTTGCGAATATTGCACCAAATATCCCCGGCTCCGTTGTGTATTGCGCTGGGAAAAGCGATGGCTTCGCATTTGCTGTCTTGAACAATGCTTTGGCAAATCGGATGGCTTGAAGTTGACCAGGAGTCTGACGTAGCATCTTTTGTGAAGAAGACGGAGATTTTAGTTCCCGGGTATCTTGTTGTAGGTGACGAAGAAGAGATCGTTTTTGTTCAATGCTAAGGCTCTCTACGCCATGTAGGACCTCTTTCAGAGAACTATCGTCATTGCTTGAGGCTTGAGAGCGCCTGTGGCTAGAGTCTTGACAATCCTCTAGGACTTCTTCTATGGCCCTGTAGCCTATGAGGTCTGCTAGGGGTTGGTCTGTAAACATTGGGGATTGTTGTATAAGCCCAGGCATGACAGCTTCCCATTGCTCATGAGATCCAAAGTTGGGAGGGTTGCCTTTGTCAAGTACTGGCAGAAATTCCGGTGCCAGTTGGTTAGAAATGACCGTTCGAATCGACTCCTGGGTAAAACCTCCACAAGCTTGCGGCACAGAATAAGTTCCAGTGCCATCAAATCTGTTGAGATCTAATGGTATGAGATGGTTAGTCAGAGGTACTGGAGGAGCGCTGGTGTCACTCGGACCACTGTGGCCGGGAACTTCATCTATATGACCATTACCGGTGATACTAGGAAGGTTGCTGGGGTCCAAAAGTTCATTTAGAAGGGCCAGTTTCTGCTTCCGCTTTTCGCCTGTGGTACCAAGGTTGATGGTATTAGTATGATGAAGTTCTGCCGATATGACATGCGACTTTCAGGAAAAGTACATACGATAGTTTCGGCTAGCAAGACGGTTCTGTTCACGGCGTGCCTCGCTATTGCGCTTGGCTGGCACCTTGCCCTTCTGGATCTTTGTGGTCTCACTCATAATATTCCATTGGATGGCAACGAGGTGAGATTAGGGTAAGCAGATGTGGAACTGACGCAGCAGATAAGAAGGATGATGATAACTGCGGTGCCAAGGAGGTCGAGTTTTTCTCTTTCGTTTTTAATCACTTTTCAGCTTATTGGGGGCACCTAGGGTTTTCCGTTCTTGTTGTTGAAAAGTATTGAAATGTCTCTGAGTCGCAGCAACATTACTTAATGCTTTAGTGCATAAGTAAAGATAGAGTTGAAGTTGTGAGTTAAACAACCCCACCTTTGGACTTCCTTAAACGTAGGGTTTATTGATCAATCACAGCAATCGCTTTACTGATTCTATCCAATCGTACACACCTTAGCCCCCAAAGAGTTCCATGAGGCTCTGGTAAGGTACCCTAGGGAAGGCAAAGCAAACTTGAAGATGTTTGTTTACCCAAGGCATTATAAATCACAAGACTTCAGGTTATTTTAGGGTAGGAATAGGGAGGTTCCTATCGTTTGTGATATCTTACCTCCTGATCAGAGAGGTTTCCTGCTTTCTGAAGGGTACCTCCCAGATCTTTCATAAAACCAGATCAGAAAAGTCTGGTACTTGCGTCATAATTGAGGTTGCTTGAACGACGAAACTGGAGACTCGTGGAATCCCATGGGTTGTTTCATCGTCCGAGAGAAGCCTGGCCATTACCTCACATGTCAATGTTCTGTGTAATCGCATTATTCAATTCTGCATGGTCAGGGAGGTAGGACGCAGGGTTTGTTTATTGTACAACAAACAATATGTACTTCGGGTACCCCGGTTGATTAAGAGAGGGTGGTGGAAGTTTCCAGGCTCTAGAAAACCATTCATAGACACATGTCTTCGAATGATGTATGTAGGGAATATAACGGTATCAAACCATAAACTGTCATGCGCCCTCCGAGTCGGGTATTCTAGCAATCTAGCTTCCGCGGTGACAGGGGATGTCGGGCAGGCTTTTTTGAGGAGGCGAAGAGTGAGCGAATCAGTGCAACACGCTGCATGCCCGAACAGGAACATCGGGGTCGGGTTGTGGGGTCCTAAATCGGACCCTGCGGCTGGAGAGAAAAAAATCGAAGAACTTTTGGCCACTGCAGGAAGGGCCCTAGGGGCCTTCTGGACGGGTTCTGGGGACGCCTTGCAGGGAGGTCTGTTAGTGAGGTACCTACACAGCCTGGACAGCCTTGTGTGACACCTGTTGAGACACGGGGGCGTGTCTTGTAGGTAGGTAGGTACTAGAGGTAGATTGTTTGTTCGGTGTTACGGGTGTAAGCAGGTAGTTACTAGTATCGGATTCTGCAGTGTGGCCCTGGGATGGGCCTCGGAGTATGTAGAAGCCCCTGGAAAGTCCGAATACACTCCAGAAGAGAGTGCGGAAAGATACAGAAAAGTGAAAGTAAAAATGTAAATTTGTTTGGTCTTCAACCGGGTTTCCGCCCTTTTGCCGCGTCACAACCTTCAGCCGAGACCTGACTCCTACTGTATAGCCCGCCCGCCAATGTGGTTGTGGTCACTACTACGACGCACTAAGACGCAGGTCATGCATTATCAGCACCGCCACAGAATCTACATTCTTCCACACAATTCCATGAGGCGCGACTGTGCTGCAGCCTCCCTTCTTCCATCTCAAAACCCGTCCGCTCAATCCAAATTCAAGTCTCAGCGCCGAATCTCGACTCGTTCTGAACTTGACATTTGACTCTGACGTTTTTGTTTGAGACACTTTTCTCTCTTCTTCTCAGTGGGATAAACTCCCTCTGTTTCGACATTTGCGAGTTGCACCGCTCTTATCGATCGCCTCTTTCTCCCCTCCACTTATTACATATTCGAATCGAATTTTAGAGACCAAAGCCCGTTCAAACTCGCCGCAGCGCAGCCCCGCCGTCGGGAGACTCGAGATACATACACCCTTTGGCGAACAAGGTACGCATATAAAACCGCTGTCTTCTCCCTATGTCAGATGCGTGGTGTATGATGTTGTCATAGTTCATCTTCTTTTCCTATCACATTGCTGTTGCGCGTGTGAAAATCTGCGTCTTTGTTTGCTTTTCCTGGGCCTTACTAATATTTAACAATAGTCCTCGCTCCCCTGTTATCTCGGACCTTAGGATAACAAAACACAACTCGAACAACCGACACAATGGTCAAGGAAACCAAGTATTACGATACCTTGGGTGTATGTTCTATCGATCCCCGAACAAACCTCGAACAACTGCTAAACCAGATCACAGGTTGCCCCTACTGCTACTGAGCAGGAACTGAAGAAGGCTTACAAGGTCGGAGCCCTCAAGTACCACCCTGGTATGTATTCCAAGACCCCCTTCTCTAGTCAGTTCAACATGTCTAATGCAACACAGACAAGAACGCACACAACCCCGATGCCGAAGAGAAGTTCAAGGAAATCTCTCATGCCTACGAAATTCTCTCCGACTCTCAGAAGCGACAGATCTACGACCAGTATGGTGAGGCCGGCCTCGAGGGAGGTGCCGGCGGTGGTGGAATGGCCGCCGAGGACCTTTTTGCTCAGTTCTTCGGTGGTGGTGGTTTCGGTGGCATGGGCGGCATGTTTGGCGGCGGTGGTATGAACCGCGGCCCCCCCAAGGCCCGTACTATCCACCACACCCACAAGGTTACCTTGGAAGATATCTACCGAGGTAAGATCTCGAAGCTTGCTCTCCAACGGTCGATTATCTGCCCCAAGTGTGAGGGTCTCGGTGGCAAGGAGGGTGCTGTCAAGCGATGCACTGGCTGTGACGGCCATGGCATGAAGACAATGATGCGCCAAATGGGCCCCATGATCCAGCGCTTCCAGACTGTCTGCCCTGACTGTAACGGAGAGGGTGAGATCATCAAGGAGAAGGATCGTTGCAAGCAGTGCAACGGAAAGAAGACCACCGTCGACCGTAAGGTCCTCCACGTTCACGTCGACAAGGGCGTTCGCAGCGGCACCAAGGTTGAGTTCCGAGGTGAGGGTGATCAAGCGCCTGGTGTCCAGGCTGGCGACGTCGTTTTCGAGATTGAGCAGAAGCCCCATGCCCGCTTCACTCGCCGGGATGATGACCTTCTATACAACTGCGACATTGAGCTTGTCACAGCTCTGGCTGGTGGCACAGTCTACATCGAGCACCTCGACGACCGATGGCTTGCCATCGATATTCTTCCTGGCGAGGCTATTTCTCAAGGTATGTTTTGACTAAAATGCGCTCAACAACCGCAAGCTAACTGTTTAAGACGCCGTCAAGATGGTTCGCGGCCAAGGTATGCCCTCTCCCAGGCATCACGACTTCGGCAACATGTACATCAAGTTCAACGTGAAGTTCCCCGAGAAGAACTGGACCGAAGATCCCGAAGTTTTCGAGACCCTCCGCAAGGTTCTCCCGCCCGCCACGCAGAACGCACCTCCTGGCGACGCTATGTCCGAACCCGCCAGTCTCGAGGATTTGGATAACACAACCCAGAACAGAGTATTTGGCAACTCTGACGGTATGATGGACGAAGACGACGAGGATGGCCATCCCGGCGGTGAGCGTGTGCAGTGCGCCTCGCAGTAAGCTAGTCGAAAGAGAGCGGCGCAACAAACACACACGGCGAGTGCCATAACTGCATCAGTTGCATGCGCGAATAGAGCATTTCGCACATCCACAGTCTTGGTCAGAGACAGTGCAGCTGAGGGTGGACGTCCGTCCTTGTCGACGACGTCGCTTAATCGCTCAATGATACCAAAATTAGTAAAGGATATGGTCTACTAGGAATTGTGAGCGAGTGTGGTACTGGGGATAAGGTGCAGTTGAGTGGGCACCGGAGTTAACTTCGAACGATCGTGTTTGAGGGGTGAATGAAGGGGAAGGGGCTTTCGATCAGGCTTGGCTGGCGTTTTGAGGACATAGACGATTCAAATGAATTTGGTGGTAGCAGACGTAGACCATGAACATGATGATTTGTTTGTTATTCTAATAATGGTTGGTAAAATCTATCAGCAAAGCACAAGTGACAGGAGTAGTGGACCCAGGAACCATCAAAACTTCAAAGGGATACCTGGTCCACATCCCCTCAAGATACTATACCCAAGTTGCTAAGTGCCAAGCACATTGCCTCGTTCACTATGTACTGGCTACCTAGGGGAGGAAAGAAAACTCGAGACCTTGATCCTAAATGACAAAAAGACTTAAGTAACTTTATATAAATTTAGAATATCTTTATTAAGTTTAGGATATCTTTTACTGGGTTTATTTTGGCACCCTATATGAAGGTCTCGTGTTTTCTTGCTCCCCGAGGACTGGACACTTACCTAGGTACCAAGTCTAGGCGTATCTGCCTCGGTGACAAACTCGTCTTCGTAGGATTGTGGAAATGACCCTTGTCCATTGTGGTACTGCAGAATTAATTTCTTTTCTGTTACTTTCGGTACATTCTTATTGCTGCTTCTCAGCAGGCCCAGCCTCTTCCATCATTTGGTCTTCGGGCACCTGCTCCTCACCCCTTTCTTCTTCCCGTTCTGTGGCTTGTTTTCTTAGAGGCTCAGTGTTATATAAAAGACTCCTCACGATTTTCTCATTGACATCAAGTTCAGCGTCTTCGATATCATCGTCATCCACCAAAGCTATTGTGTTTGTGGCGAGCTTCTCATCAGTCATGGTAAGTGAGTAGACGGCCAGGCTTCTTGCTTGCGTAGGATCACTGGGGTCCAGAGCAGCGACGATCTTGGGTGCTTCATTGCCGCTGCCGGGCTTGATAGAGAGGCTGAGGGGTTTGCCAGGAAGCTGGATAATAGCTGGGTGATTAAGGGCGTGATTTTTGGTGAGTTGCCATGAGAAGATGGCCGAAATGCTAATCAATGTGAGTTGAGATACAGGGCATCGAGGGATAATACACTTACTCCTGACATATGGCGAGAACATAAACAAGATCCGAGCCACCGTGTGGATATACCAGGCTGTAAAGCCCAGACACAGCTACCTTTGTAATCTCGGGCAATATATTTTGAGCTAAAGATAAGATGCTGATTGTGGAGAGGAGCTTGTTTGATTTCCAATCCCAGACGAACAAGTCCTCATCACCACCACCCGACACCAGAACATCACCACGCGAGGCTGGAATGACCATGGAGCTGATGAACTCTGTGTGACCGAAGCAGAAACCCTCGATGACGTATGACTGGGGAACGTATCTTGAAACACGAATATGTTCATCACGGTCGGCAGTAAGAATGTATCGCCGACCCTCACTCTCACCCATCACGAGTGCAGTAAGCATAGAAACATGGCCAAGCAATAGAGAGATCTCAAATTCTGGACCTTCGGCCTTGGAATTGCTGTCGTTTTTAGTCCGTGTAGAAAGCTCCATCTGTCTTTGCTGCTCTTGAAGAGCTCGCAGGTTACGCTTCGAGTGAACGGTTGTAGTATTGGCAGATGGTCTATAAGCCGGTTTGGCGGGGGCAGGGGTTGAAGCAGTCTGGAGAGTAGGATCGTAGAGGAGAGGCAGAGAGTAAACATCTCCAAATTTATCAGCGACAATAATCTGAGAGTCTGGTCCGATAACGACATCACTAGGGCGTTTGGGAAGAGTTCTGGCCTAGAATTAGTATGCGGGCTGAGGAGTTGGTTTTTTCCTATACGAGCTTACCGCTTGCTGATTTGGTTGAGAGAGCCCTTTCCATCATTCTCAAAGACCCAGATGGCTTTGTCATGTCCAGTGATAGCCAAGATATGGGAGCCATCAAGAGTACTTGTCAGATGCGTAATGACTGGGCGATCAGGTACGCGTGAGATGTTGTGATCCTTTGCTCGCTGCTGGTTTTGTCTGTTCTTGCTCTTCTTTCCACCCTTCTTTTTGCCCTCACTTTTCGTTTCCTCCGAAATTTGAGCACCCTCTTGGACCTCTGCCTTGGCTGGAGTTGTCTCATCTTTTGGCTCTTCAGTTCTTTGTCTCTTGGCTGGGGGTCCACTGCCATCTTCTTCCTCGGCGATATGAGTCTTGGTCACGGGATTCTCAGTTAAGATATCACCTGAAATAGCCTTAACTGCCGCGTCTACTCTGTCAACATCTGGATGTTTCCACGTCGAGAAGTGAGATCCATCCTCAAGGCTAAAAGAATGAATCTTGCCTCCTCGAGCAGCAAAGAGAACATTTCCACTGACGTGGACAACGTTGAAGGGAAATTTCATGACGCCTGAGCCCCTGTGAGTTGATTAAAGATTGATTATCAAATTGATGAGATTTGATGCTGGAGCAATTGCTCGGCGACAGCTCAAATCAGACTCTTCTACGGAGTAAGTTCCACTTTCATGAGGTGGATGTGATAAAAAAGATACATTGAGAATGTACCTAGGTACCTAGGTAGGTGTATGCTTACCTAAAGGTACCTTACCTTACCTTAACTGTAGTTCCCCACCTGAGCCACCTTTGCACCCAGAGTAGACTAGCGCCTTCATGCCCTAAGCGAATTGGCTGTGAGCACACATTACATTTTCCGAAACTGTCAAAAGAGTTTTCTTGTCTTCATCAACATCCTCATCAACCTCCAATTTCCATTTTACGATACCCCTTGCCCTTAAATACTCCTGCCTTCAGAAAAATAAGAAGATATGGGGGGCAAGTCTGAGAACAAGGCCAACTATTTCGACAAGCTCAAGGGCTTGCTCGAGGCCTACACGTCCATCTTCATCGTTGAGGTTGACAATGTCAGCTCCCAGCAGATGCACGAGATCCGACAGGCTCTCCGAAGCAAGGGTGTTGTCCTCATGGGCAAGAACACCATGGTGCGTCCCTTCATTCGAGGAAGAAGACACCATCGGGTTGCTAACAGTATTTCCAGGTTCGCCGAGCCTTGAAGACCTTCATCCCCGACTCCCCCGAGTACGAGCGTCTCCTCCCCCACGTCAAGGGCAACGTTGGTTTCGTCTTCACCAACGACGACCTTAAGGAGGTCCGTGACATCATCCTCGCCAACAAGGTCGCCGCTCCTGCTCGTGCCGGTGCTCTCGCCCCTGCCGATGTCTGGGTTCCTGCTGGAAACACTGGTATGGAGCCTGGAAAGACCTCTTTCTTCCAGGCCCTCGGTGTCCCAACCAAGATTGCCCGTGGTACCATTGAAATCACCACTGATCTCAAGCTCGTTGAGGCCGGCTCCAAGGTCGGTCCCTCCGAGGCCACGCTTCTCAACATGCTTAACATCTCTCCTTTCACCTACGGCATGGGTATCTCTCAGGTTTACGACCAGGGACAGTCTTTCCCTCCCAGCGTTCTCGACGTCGGTGAGGAGCAGCTCCTCAAGACTCTGTCTCAGGCTATTACCACCGTTGCCACTATCTCTCTGGCTCTCAACTTCCCTACCCTGCCCTCGGTTCTCCACTCCGTTGTCAACAGCTACAAGAAGGTTCTTGCTGTTGCCATCTCCACCGAGATCACATGGCCTGAGATTGAGGAACTCAAGGACCGCATTGCCAACCCCGATGCTTATGCTTCCGCCGCCCCTGCCGCTGCCGCTTCTGGTGGCGCTGCCGCCCCTGCTGAGGCTGAGAAGAAGGATGAGTCCGAGGAGGAAGATGAGGACGAGGAGGGCTTCGGCGGTCTTTTGTATGTGAACTCCTTTCAATGCCGTGTGGGTATGACTAACAAATCTGCAGCGACTAAATGTAGTCACATCAACTGGATGAACGACTGCCTTCCAGGACTTTGGTTGGGTTTACGACTTATGTATCTTAAAAAAGGGGCACATAGATCGTCTGCTGGACAATTGAATCTGTCGCGACGGTTACGAATCAAGTTTTGGGACTCAACATGCGAGTGAAAGCTTTTACCAAACCGACTAATGCAGCTCTGCTGATGGAGTGCGATCTTCAAAAAGGTTAGTCAGACAAACATCAAACTTTCTTTTTTCCCTTTACATTTCCGGATGATTATATAAATTGTTCAAGAGCTTTTTAACCCTGAATCTCCTGATGACACACACATCACCACCCTATGACGGACACCCATTACAATTATGTTACTTCGACAAGATGTTCTTTGAGAGTATCAAAGCTAATGGTCAAATCATACAGATCTCCACGCCCTCGAATGTTCTCAAGCTTCCACAATGTGATGTCTATGCATGTTTCCTAAGCGAACCTGATAGCCCAGCTAAACTGTAGGATATGAGAAGACTGGTGATACCTAACCATATGTACTAGGAAAAAACTTGGACTTCTAGTCAATGTTCTATAATCCTAATATTATATTATAATTGGAAGTTTAGAACTTTTGTTACATTTTCCAGGTACGGATTAGAGTTTGGAGATAGACCATTGTCGATCAATACTATCTAACCATTGCATTCTCACGCCTTGTAGTTTGTCTTGCCATTATCTCATGAGCTTGCAAGAAGACACTATCAAAGCTTTAAATCTTTGTTATTGGCCATACCTGCCGCCCGTCACTGTTAGAGGCGCGACTGTATGTGCCGTCAATACCTACCAAAAGTCACCTATATGAAGTCGTCTTGCTTCAAGGCACGTTTCGCTACCTCAATAGCTCGATCCGGTAGCCCAGCGAGCCTCGCTACCTTTAGTGC